TCCACGGCCCAGCGGAAAGTTTTCTGTGTCCGGAGGAAGTTGGACCTTTGGAGACTCGGAGACAGCAGCTACCGAGGCTGCGGGGCTCTGCGCGGCCATGGAGATGGAGGAGCCCCCTTTGCGGGAGGAAGAGGAGGAAGAGGAGGAGGAGGACGAGGCTGGCCCCGAGGGGGCTCTGCGCAAGAGCCCCTTCCAGCTGACCGCCGAGGACGTGTATGACATCTCCTACGTGGTGGGCCGCGAGCTGATGGCGCTGGGCAGCGACCCCCGGGTGACACAGCTGCAGTTCAAAATCGTCCGCGTGCTGGAGATGCTGGAGACGCTGGTGAGCGAGGGCAGCCTGGCGGCGGAGGAGCTGAGGATGGAGCGGGACAGCCTCCGCAAGGAGGTGGAGGGGCTGCGGAGAGAGGGCGCGGCGGCCAGCCCCGAGGTGAGTGCGGGAGGCAGGGGCGCGTGGGGCAGTGCCCGCTGGCACGGAGGCCCCTTTCCTCTCTCTTTCTCTTTTAAAATATACTTTTTAAATTGATTTTAGAGAGGGAGGGAGAGGGAGAGATAGAAACATCAATGATGAGAGCGAATCATTGATTGTCTGCCTCAGGCACACCCCACACAACCCGGGCTTATGCCGTGACCAGGAATAGTGATCTCCTGGGTCATAGGTTGCCGTCTAACCCTTTCCTCTCTTGAATATCCAAGCCCCTCCAAGCAGAGCACTGCGAGTATCCAGCCCTCAGATTGGAAACACTGCGATTGTAAACATTTATGGAGCAGTTACTAGGTGCTGGGCCCTGTCCTGCGTAGTTCTAAATCAGTGGCCGCTAGCATTGTTGACCATGACCTAGAGCACTGGTTCTCACGCTTAAGCGGTCATCACCATCACCTGGGTGTTCTTTAAAACACAGACTGCAAATTAAAAAAAAAAAATTAATAAATAAAACACAGACTGTAGGGCCCCAGCCCCAGAGTTTCTGATTCAATAGGTCAGGACTGGGACCTGAGAATATGCATCTCAAATGAGCTTCCAGATAATGCTGATGCTATTGGTCCAGACATCACACTTTGTCTTTGACCTAGATTAAGATGTAAAATTTGACTAAAGAGAAATTAGTGTTTATGACCACAAAAAAGACCGGTGTGAGAATATTCAGAGTAGCTTTATTCGTACTTGTGCCAAACTGGAAAGAATCCAGATGCACCAGAGGAGTGGGTGGGTTTTTAAAGGGTGGTATATCCATGCAATGGAATACTACACAGCTCTGAAAAAGAACAGAGTGCTGATACGCACAACTGTGTGGATGACTCTCACAGGTGTTCCATTGAGAAACAGGAACCAAGCACAAAAGACAGCCTACCATATGTGAGATTCAAGAACAGGAAGAATAATCTTTACTTATAGAAGACAGATTGGTGCTAACCTAACACCAGGGAGGGGACAGCGAGAGGAAGCAGGAAGGAAATGCACTGTGGTTATGTGGGTATATGCATATGGCAAAGATCATCAAGCCATAAACTCAAGAGTAGTATGTTTTACTGTATGTATGTTATACCTCCATTTTACAGGATTACATTTCAAGAAGCAACATGATGCACGGTCATATTTCCTACTTTATGAGTTTTTAAATTCTTGTTGCAACTCACTAAATTAATATCATACTCAGTACAGAGTCTTCAGCCACAGTTTTAAAAATAAGATCTGCCCTAACTCTTTGTTAGTCTTTATACTATATTATACCCATTTTACAGAAATGGAGGCATAGAACAGGCAAATAATTTATTAAGGACTTAGAGCAAGTAGGAGGTGGAGGCAGGGTTTGAGCTCAGAGATGCTGGTTTTAAGCACACCATACTAAGATGGTCCTCGGACCTTATGCTGTACCAACATTTGTTGAGTGACTGCACTGTGTGGGCTCTGGGGCCATGGAAGTAAATCAGACAGGGGCCCTGCGTTCTGGCGGCTCACAGCTAGCGGGAGGGGTAAGACGCACATTCCTCCAGAACTCGGATCCAGGATCACAGACTGAGGAGCGAGCCCTGGCAGCCCAACGGCCAGGGTCGCTGAAATTCCCAGGGAAGAGTGAAGGTTTCTGGTAGCTCCCCTGCTACACTCGAATTTCACCTACTCCTTAGTCACGGGGGCAATGATATTTGCAGATAAGGCTCTACT